TCGTTATCAATGGGTAATACCTGTTTAACGGAGACCGGTCAATTGCATGCAGCCTACGCGATGAATGGTATTTGCGTTCATTCGGCCTGTACAGTAATTTACTACATATTTATTTGAACGTGGATATGTAGGCATCTCAAGAAGCATTTTCTTGCCTGGCTGTAAATTTAGGAATTTGTCATTTTCCAACAAACGCATGAAGTGAGGAGAATTATATCATTTCAGCATTATTTGTTAACCACCATATGGAATTATAAATAAACCACGTTTGAATTCTATTTCTCCAACCCCCCCCCCCCCCCCCCCCGATCTACACCTTGTTGGCGGGAAAATTGCAACTGATATCCCTTACCTTTCTTCATTCTCTTTTTTTTTTCCTTTCCCTTTCTCTCCTTTTTCAGTTTCCCTTCCCTTCCTTATCTCTCTTTTAGGTTTGCTGGGGGGGGGGGGGGGGGGGGGGAGGGGCACGGTCATTTTGGTCCCCAACCCGCTCCACACATTGTTGACGGGATTAACCGCAACTTCGTTTCTCCCTTTTCTTTTTTTCTTCCTCTTTTTTGTTCCCTTTTAGCTCTCCTCTTTTCGTTTTCCTTCCTCCTCTCTTTTTTAGCGGGGACGGGGGGGGGGGGGGGGGGGAGGCTAGGGTCTTTTGCCCCCCCCCCCCCCCCTCGATTCACAACTTGTTGGCGGGAAAATTGCAACTGATATCCCCCTTCTTTATTTTCTTCTTCCTATTTTGTCCTTCCCTTTATCTCCTCTTTATCTTTTTTCTTTCCCTTTCCTTCCTTCTCTTTTTTTTATTGGGGGGGGGGGGAAGGGGGAGGCAAGTCCTTCCCCCCTCCCCGATCTCCTTCTTCCCTCTTTTCTTTTCTTCTTCCTCTTCCTTTTTTCCCTTTCTCTCCTCTTTCCCTTCTTTTCCTTCTCTCCCTCTTTTTTGCGGGGGGGGGGGGGGGCAAGGCACGCTCGCCCCCCCCCCCCCCTGGATCCGCGCCTGGTTTATATATTCCACGGTTTAGCCAGTTGAACATGTTCTGACAAATGGTTTATGCATTAAAGGATATTGAGAGACTGTTCGTTGCAGATAATTCTGGGAAGTCTATATTCCGCGGTTTCAGATTGAGAAGCCTGTTGAAAATGTGCTGTCAGTTTGTCACTACAACATAAACAATGTAAAGAATTCTTACTTTAATATGCCTCGTAGTGAAAGACTTCATTACGGAAAAATTGTGTGTACCAAAAATGGAATGCAACATCTAAAACAATGATTTGTTTTTTAGTAACCCAATTCCATGACTGAAATACAAAACAAATAATTTGATTTTTGTCCCCTTGTCATTTTACGAAATCCAGTTGAAAATATGTCTCATCAAATAGTGTTGATGACCGGTTGCTCATCTGGTATCGGTTTAGCCACAGCTAAACTTCTCGCTCTCGACGCCGAACAGCGATACATCGTCATCGCTACAATCATAGCGATATCGGAGAAAATTGATCTGGAAGCTGCCGTAGGGGACGCTCTCAACAAAACAATTTTCATCGTCACAAAGTTGGACGTCACAAAGGACGATGACATCGCAGCTGTAGTGGATGGAACACTCAAAACGCATGGGAAAATTGACATCCAAAGTGAGTGCACTTTTGGGGGGGTAATGTCAGTCTGTCATACTGCCCGTCAGGAGCGTATCATGGGTTTTGTAAGAGAGAACAATGAATATATATATATTTTTTATTTAAGGGGGGAGGGGCACTTCCGAAAATTATGTAATCTTGAGGTAGTTTGGGCCAATCTATTTAGACTACCTGTAGACGGTACCAGAATAAGAGAACAGACATGCTTATCCAATACCTATATAAATGTATTTACCGTATTTAGCAAGTCAACACTGTCTGTCATTAGATAGGGGAGTGGAGAAATCATAATATATGGCAAAAGTCAAAGGCGATCGGTAGTTGAATATCCCCTTTAAATAGGTTTACATATAATTCGTTTTCTACTATATACGTTTTTGTCTACTCTTCTATCCCTCTTTATTTTATTTTTATTTCACCCTCCCTTATTTCCCCGTTGTTCGTCCTCTTCTTCTTTTTCTTCTCCTTCTTTCCTATTCTCCATTTGTCATAACTATCCTAAAATACTATTCATTTTGCTTCATCTAATCTGTTTATTTTCTTCTGTTCCTTTCCTTCTTCTTAATCATCTTTTTCTCTTTCATCAAATATTGCTCCTCCTCTTCCGCCTACTTCTTTACATCTTCTTCTTCTCTTTCCTTTTCTCCTCCTTCCTCTAATACTTCGGCATTGCTGTCTTCTTATTTTGTATATACCTTTTCTTTCTTTCCTTTCCTTCTTCTTCTTCTTCATCATTGTATTTTCGTTTTTTTCTTCTTCTTTTTCTCTTTCATCAAATATGTATTCTCCTCTTCCGCCTACTTTTCTACATCTTCTTCTCTTCTTTCCTCTTCTACTCCTTCCTCTAATACTTCTTTCTTATTCACCCTTTCCTTTTTTTGTCAATGTGGCCGGGATCGGTGTTGCTGACATTCCTGAACGAGTCCCGCGGGAACAGATCGAGACCATTTTCAGTGTGAATGTATTCGGGGCCATAAGACTGACTCAAGCTGTTCTACCTCGGATAAAACAGAGGAAAGCTGGAAAGATCATCACTATCTCAAGCACAGGTGGAAAATTAGGTCTGAAATACCTCCCAACTTTTTCATCTTTACAATTCTAGCCTTTGTTCTCGAATAAATGATCTATCGTCCAGCTCGCAGCTTGTGATTTACACAATTTATATCGAGGTTTTTCGATTTTAGAATTTAGAACTCGTCTGTATACCCATACCCAATTTTTCCAGAACCTTCCTGATTATTGTTTTTTCCTACTTCCATAGGTTACCCGTATTTGGATATGTACTGCTCCACTAAATTTGCGCTCGAGGGTTTCTTTCAGAGTCTGGCGGTTTCGTTACGCTCATTCAATGTCAGGTAAGGATCCTTGAATATGATGTTTACTTTTGTTAAAGTTGGCAGAAGAAACAGATCCTTCTTAAATTAGGGGGTGTAGCATTGCAAATACTGGTTAACGCCATCTACGACTTCTTTTGGACAATTGTTAGTAGACGAATGGACTCGTCTAACCAGGCCCCCCAAGCTCCGCCATTTTGTCCGGATCCATTAGAAGCCAAAATAAGCCCCCCTTGCATAATTCATGAGCCTTATGAATTATGCATTCTGTAGGATGCTTCCCGCGAAAAGTGTACTGGAATGATGTTCACTACATGGTAAAAGACAATACACGTATCAGCGTAATTAGAGAGGTCAAATAATCTACTGTACGTAATTATGGGTAATTTATTCATCACGCTGCGCGCTAGCAACGCAAGTGATTCAGCGAATCAGCATGGATTATTCTGATGCGATCACCGTTAGCTGAAATACGCGCTCGAACGTGTATTATCGATCACCAGTAAAACAGCTGGTGTACCCAGGATGCATCTGGGAAGTGGACCTTAAAGTTCCACTCGTTGTTGTGTTGTTTGAGTTTTAATGACATGTATCATTCATTTATGAATATTTACGCCAACTAATTACATCATTACACCTATACTTCTTAATATTCCAGCATTAGATTTTTCTGAAAATCTCTTTATTGACTAAAAAATGATAATAACCATCCATTTTCAACACATTCTCTGGCTATGATTATACATTTTAAATATGCCGATGTATTAAGTTGCCTTATTTTAGACAAACAAATTATGTGGCACAGTGGATGGATTTTCCCCATCCACTCTCATCATGACCTTAAAAATTCCCTTTCTCTCTCTTTCTCCCTCTTTCTCCATCTTTCGAAAAATATCGTTGTGTTGTGTTCTCTTTACTGAACAACCTGTTGCAATTCCTTTCTGTCTCACTTTCAGTCGTACTTGTTATTACCACTCATTTGCATGCACTCGCTATCAACCATTCTATATTCACTCCATTATCCTCCACATTTCACTTGGATTCTCTTCACTTTTCCTTTTTGCAGCCTTTGCAGGAGCTTTGAACATTTTTAACGTAGAGACCAGAGAGATCGGAAAGTATGTTAATCATTTTATTCAAATGTTCCAACTTGAAAGAAAGGAAAGTGAAACATTGTTTAATTTCATCTTGACATAAATGATTTCTTTTTTTAAAGACAATTGAATTTAACACTGGAAATTTTGAATTGGCTGGCTTGCCTGCCACCCCCCCCCCCCCAGCCCCAAAGGAAAAAACAACAACAACCCAGAAGTGGTACCAGGGTTTTAGTTAGGAAGCCCATGTCCTGCATAATTTTTATCTTAAAGAATAATTTTTTTTTTAATAATCTTACATTGGTATACTGTTAATTTCACTGGGACACCATCCCTTTCCCTAATATATTATTACTTCTAGCAACATAAATGCTATAATTCAAAACGTTTTTACTTTCTAAATCCTTTTAATATAAACATATGATAAATATAATATTGTTTATACTTTTGCAACCAGTTACATTATGTACATGGTCCATGTAGATACAGCACCAGGAAGAGGATTGCAACCCCCCCCCCCCCCTGTTTTCTTAAGTTAAGAAGTATCAAAACATGATTCTATTAAAATTAGTAGTTTGGATACGAAAGGCAATGATGAAATGGCAGTCTGTCTATGTCTTTCTATATTTAATGCATTTAGAGGGTTGGCTTTCAAACCTTCTTACATACAATACTTTAAGCAGCATTATACTGCAATAATGTAATACTCTGCAAATCCTCTAAAATACAGAAGTCCATAGAGGTAAATGAATTTCAGCATGTATAATTATAATTAAAATATTATTGATTAATTCAATCTTTGGTATAGATTAATAGATCTTTATCACTCAAATTTCAAGGAAAATATTTCTGCCCAGTCCCTCCTATAAGATGGTTGACATTGTTAAAATGTTTATTCATTGATGATTAGTTTTTTGTAATTATTTGAAAGTTGACAAGATGATAAATTCATTAGCTTTATTGAATGTGGTATTGTACAAACATAATAATACAAATAATAAATAAATATCATGTAAATATTCAAATTTAAACCCATCTCTACTGTCCTCTTTCATTATATGAGGGTGGCATCCTTAAGACGTAGTCCCATGTAGATGTCTCCTGCATTCATCAATACAGTTGTAGCCTAGTTTTCAGAAGAAAGGGCTGTAATGATAACCCAAATCTGTTGAATGGAAAAATGAAAATAAGAAACAGTGTATAAGAAAATCAACGATGACTAATAACATACACCCTGATACCTGCTCTGACAAAATGACGAAGGACTGAAATTCACTTGGGGTTCTAGTGGGCAAACCTAAACTATTTTTTCCAACAAGACTAGTTTACTGACCACATCTTAGATAGGCCTGCTGGAGCTTGGATCTGACAAGGTACGAAATAAGTAATACATGTACAATTTACTTGTATTGTGAACTTTTGCTCATAATTGAATAATACTTGGTTAAGTATGGGATACAAAATGACCCTACATCTTGGACCAGAGAATGTTATACGTAATGTAGACTTATATTTCATCTATATCAACATTTTATTTTAAATCTAAATCACAATTGTGATATTCAGTCAAGTATTCTTTTACAAGTAATGGACAATGAAAAATATCTTTGTCAGATCTATAACTTTCTGTATGATATGTGTTCTACAATAGTTTATTGGGGGTACCTACATTGTATATTAGCACACTTGCTCGCATGAAGTGTATAGTAGGCCCGCATCTCTAGATGTGATCCGGTCAATATCTGGTTTTTTGTTCCTCTCCTGGGTTTGTAACCAGCATGTCTTCATCATCCACTGTAGAGAAGCATCATCCTACATAAGAGAAGACAATGTAGGTACTTCAATTAAAAAGTGATAATAATAGATACATATCAACCATAATACATTCTTTAAACAGACTTCCATTAATCTCATTTTGTGTTCTTCATCTTCATTGCTCAAGAAGTGAAAGGACCACTTACAAAAAAAAGTAATGAGGGGTCCTGTGTATACCCTACATGTATGACCATGTAGTGCTTTTAATGTGCATTAGACATTGTTCTTCTACACACAGGACTTCCTGCAAATAAGGACAAATTCCCTTTGTAGACAAAGAAAGGAAAGATATCATTATTTGTGTGCTAAGTGCAGAACTAGAATAAAATATACCCTCCAGTCCACTATGTATGCTTGCAACATCATGACATAAACTTAGTTCCATTTCCTTTTTAGTGAATTAATAGGTGGTCGTTTAATATTTGTGTGCTAAATATCCTGAAAATGTTACCTGCGCATGGCACTTTCTGCTTCATCTTGCAAATATACGAAATGTTGTAATGTCCACTCATCAGTTAACTCCTTCCAGCTCTTCATCAGTTTCAATCTGTTGGAACAAAAAGAAAAAAATCAATATGACAATCAAGGCGTCCCTTACTCCATAACAAAATAAAATAGATCTAGCATATAAACTAGTTTTGATGTCATGGTTGGCCACAAATTTAATATTGTTTGGAAATCAACATTCCTATTTAAATTAATGGACCACAGTACAAAGTAAAACTAAATGGAAGATATAATTTGTGCCTCAAACAGTGCTTTGTATGGCCCATGAATATTTTAAAGTAGTCTTAAGTAGAATTGGTTTATTAAAACAAGAATAAGAGGTGGACTACCCTACATAAGTAAACATAATTGTGGACTAGGGGTCTTCTCTTACACAAAAAATAGATTTATCAACATGAACTGCACAATTTGGAGAAGAAAAACAAAATCTCTAATAGACCTAACAGTTAGATCTATATTAAAAGTAATTAGGGGTCTAGAGGTCTAGATCTAGAAATAATGACAACTTGACAAGCACGCTGGACCCACACAAAATCTAAATATTAAATAAACAAATCCTAGTGTTGTTTTTTTTTAAATATTTTTATTAATAACTTCCAGGTATAAATCTACATCTAAACGAAATAGGATTTGGAGTTGTTTGATTATCAATGGTCACAGATAATTTTGGTCAAAATAACGTTGACACGCACCGCGTACCGATGATGCAACTGAGCGAACGGAGTCAACATCTACTAAAGATTTCAACAAGAATTAATCCACTTGGATTATCAAAAAAATCATGCTTCATAGATTATTTTAAGGTGTAACGATTTATTGGTGATGATTGGTGATTTAGATTCATGATGACGATCAAATCTGAAATAAAACCTGATTAGAAAGTTTGATCTTGATGAAGATGAGCACCGAAATTCCCCGGGATGGGCCTGCCGGAACCCGGGGCCCTAACTGGAGTACTATAGTGTGAAATGACGGCAAACCGCAGTCAAACTACTTCATGACGATGAAAACCAAAGTGCAATTTCAAGAGCAATATTTTCCTAGTCTTTTCCCAAAAAATCTGTTGAGAACTGTCTCAAAATGTAACAAAATTACCGTAGATCACGAAGACTATTGCAGCTTTTTCAAAATTGATGACTAAATTCACTTAATCTACTCATATTTCAATCAATTACTCACCCATTCTCAATGAACTAACTTTTCTCAGTTTGTGCGAGTGTATAGCGTCGTGCATAAATCTGCATAATTAAAGTGACGCAATGAGGTCAAATATATTATCCGGTTTCTTAAACGATACTATCGATAAAATACATATTCATGAGGCTCTTATCCAATCAGAAAGCCGCCACGGGTGCTTATTTTGTCTTCAAATGATCCAAAAGAGGCGGAGCCTAATCCCATTCGTCTGCATGGTTTCCGCGCGTGCTGCTTTCCGTCTAGTAATTATATTTAAACGTCTTTGCGTCTAACAGTCAGCGCGCTATAGCGTTCGCGAAACAGACCTAAGTTAGTAGGAGACCAGCCTGTAGGTCCCGTGACCAATCTCTGGGAACAAAGGTTTGAAAGTGTTTTTGTGTTCCCTGATGAATACCGAACAATTTTGACTTGGGCTGCCCCCTTGAAAATCCCGGGCATTTTCGTGAGGGGTCAACAAAGGTCACACAGGGATAAAAATTCAAATAGTTCCAATCGTGTCAATATTCATATCAAATTACTCGTCTGGTCATGAGGATTCCAAAAATGTATAGTTTGCTATACCTCCGACCTTAAATGAGGGCGCTATGGTCAAAAACGTTGAAAGGTCAACACACTTTTGACTGGTGGTCAAATTCACCAACACAGTGAACCTTATTAAATCACACATCAAATTACTCGTCTGGTCATAAGGATTCCAAAAATGTATAGGTTTTTATACCTCCGACCTTAAAGGAGGGCGCTATGGTCGAAAAGGACATGATGCACTTTAGAAATTCACCAACACAGTTAACATCGTCCGATTCTAATGATTTTAGTGTCTAATAATATGTTTTCTGACATAACAAATTTAACTAAGCAACTTTTAAAATCAAAAGTAGTTGCCATAACCTTGAAATTTCCCCCAAACCCATGGATAAGAAGTTGTTAGATGTTTGTCACCGAAACGGCAGCCATTTTGAATGTACATGGTCAAGGTAAGCACTTTTACTTTTGAAAGCCATGGGAATATATATATATATATATATTTTTTTTTTAATAACAAAAATAAATTTAAAAAAATTCAAAACGGGGGGGGGGGGGGGTTAAGGAATTGAGGGGGGTTTACTCACAAAAAATGTCAAAGGGGGGGGGGTTAACCCCCTAAACACCCCCCCCCCCCCCTTGTGTACGCGCCTGTGTAGCACCTCCATCGCTGTAGGATTGATTATTTCAAAATGTACTATAAAGTGGGACCTCTTTATGTTTTGAAGATCTGTGGATATTCGGGGTCAATGCAGCCATTTGCTTACCGTGAACTGGTCTATTGTGAACTAGGAACCGGCCAGGAAAGGCCTGCAATCCGAATGCCTTACTTTTTTAATGCCCTATTTAGTGCCCCAAGACACACACCCCTTTGACCGATAGCGGTCAAGGCTTTGGGTAGCATTGTTGTCAAAAATAAGGGTACGGTATGATGTTTATTCATTATCAATGTATAAAACCTGTTTAACGGAGACCGGTCAATTGCATGTAGCCTACGCGATGAATGGTATTTGCGTTCATTCGGCCTGTACGGTAATGTAATACCTATTTATTTGAACGTGGAAGAAATTGTAGGATTGATCAGTAAAAAGGAAACCCTCCATCATAACAGGTAGGTACATTATATATTACCGTACATAAACAATACCAAATACGGTTAATAATGAAATTTCATACTGTATGTGCATGTGGCAACCCATTGGCCGCAGCATGTACTGGACGCTGTGTATCTAATAGACATAATAATAAGTATCCGCGCTTCTACCTTTAATACACAAACGTTATAATATGATTTTCCATTCACAATTAAATGGACAATAAATGAGTTCTTTTAGAAGTCTTTGGTTGCGTAGAATTCTCGCTAGTTTATATATTCCACGGTTTAGCCAGTTGAACATGTTCTGACATTACATGATAGGCTTATGAATTAAATGATATTGAGAGACTGTTGGTTGCGGAGAATCCTGGGTAGTCTATATTCCGCGGTTTCAGATCGAGAAGCCTGTTAAAAACGTTCTGTCACTACAGCATAAACAATGTCAAGAATTCTTACTTTTAAGTCCTCGTAATAAAAGACTTCATTACGGAAAACTTATGTATACCAAAAAAAGAATGCGATTTCTAATACAATGATTTTTGTTTTTGAATAACCCAATTCGTTGACTGAAATAAAAAACAAACAATTTGATTTTGTTTCCCCTTGTCATTTCACGAAATCCAGTTTAAGACATGTCTCCTCAAATAGGGCTGATGACCGGCTGCTCATCGGGTATCGGTTTAGCCACAGTTAAACGTCTCGCTCTCGACACCGAAACATCGTCATCGCTACAGTCATAGCAATATCGGAGAAAACTGATCTGGAAGCTGCCGTAGGGGACGCTCTCAACAAAACAATTTTCATCCAGGAGTTGGACGTCTGTACGTCTCGCAAAAAAATTTCTCCTGTTCATCCAAACCTGGACACATATCACACACAAAAATGATACTAAAAGATTCGGGATAAAAAAAATCTGTTTCATAAGATGTATAATAATTTACTGTTCATAGATGATTTACAGAATATTTAGCAATTTTCTAGGTGAAAACATTTGTGTTGACTCACACGGTAAGACTTTAAAAGTAAGCAGAGGCAATCCACTTCCTTCTACCTTGCAGAAACGTATGGAAATAACATTTCATCTCATATCACCTTTGTTACAGAAATGTAAGTGCACGGCATTCCAAGACATCGGCTCATGATAACACTTTGCAAAAAGAAATGTAATTTGCATTCAAATAAAAATGGTACTTTTTTTCTCTTTCTTACTTTAGTAAATAGTTGAGCACGATTTTTCTATAGAATCAACAATTGATATCACCGTAAAGAACAGTCTTACTTGTTGTACACTCAAAACGATGGTATTATCTAGAGCCATTAAAACATTTTTAACGTGTCCCATCAGCAGATAACTTTAAGGTGTTAGTGCACGCAAGGAGTCAAGCACAATTTTACACCACCATCTCCTTTAGGGTGTAAGTGAGAACCTTTACGATTCAAAATTATGCTTAAAACTCTAACGATGGTGTAAGAAGATTTCAACACATTTTCCGAACTCATTCTCCCCCCCCCCCCCCCCATCATGTTGGATTAAAGATTTTCATTATACAAAATATGACGTCAATATTCAGACGATTAGTGCATTTTTCACCAAACAACATTAAGTCATTTTTCTGCCCAATGTTTTTTTTTAAAGAAATCGATTTGATGAATTAAAAATTTAAAGCAAATTACATGACTTTTAAACTATTCGTATATTTGAATTATGAACAAAATAAGTGGGGAAAAAATTGTTAATAGTTTATTTTTTCTTTGTCCTATCAACCTTGGCATACAACGCATCTACACTGACTACATCATCCTTAGACAAGGTTGATGTCTGTCCTGTTTTTGAAGTGGCCTTCAAGGTATTCCTGATGAGTCCTTTATCTGGCATTTCATAGAGCGGAATCTCCTCTGCATCACCCCCTGATCCTGGCATCTTGACATTCTTATACTGGTCTCCCTGCTGAAAGGCATCCCTGCTCTGCTCATGTTGAGTGATGATGACGCTGTTGCCATAGAGATGAACTGAATTGGTAGATTGATCAATAGCCAGCTTTTATGTTGATCTTGACTCACTGTTGGTTTACCTCGGTTCCATAATAGAGGTAGCATATTCTTGACCCTTCAGAGATTCATTTTTAACCGATTCGTATTAACAAACTTCAGGGTGCTCCTTATTATGTTCATGATCTGCACTTCGTTGATCCAAGCTGTTTCCCCTTATTTCCTTAATGGAAGTAGCATACTCTGGACCATTCTGAGATCCATCTCCAACCGATTCGTAATAAACGTCAGGATGCCCCCTTGTATCTTCATGATCTGCACTTCGTTGATCCAAGCTGGTTCCCCTCAATTCTTTAATGGAAGTAGCATACTCTAGACCATTCGGAGATCCATCTTCAACTGATTCGTAACTAACTTCTGGTTGTTCCTTTTTAATCGTCGCTTTGCCAATGTGTTTATTTTCCTTTCGATCGTTCGTTTGCTTACGTCTCACAAAGGTAATGATAACTATCAAAATCAGAATGAAAGCAGAACCAAGAATTACGACAATGACGGTTATATTGCCATCTCTCCAATTTTTGTCGGAGTTGGAATTTTTTTTTTTTGGCGTTTGATGTTTTGTTGTAGAAATTGATGTAGGTCTACCGACGGGAAATTTTCTTGAAGCTGATTATGGAAATGTTGATGGTCTATTTAGCGTCGTTTGTTTCGAAGAGGTCGTTGGTAGCGCAGTCGTAGGAGAGAATGGTGTTGTGGGCTGAATTGGAGGCATGCACGTGATCCTCGATTCGGTGTCAATCTGCAGACGGAATTCTGAATAAAGCCTGTTGAATTCACTCACATAAATCGGAAAAGAAAAGGTGTTTCCTTAAAATAATGCCCTCTGATATATGTTTCCGTTCAAAGTGATATTTCGAGAAAGCGTCTGTGTTGTCCAATAATTATCCAGAGTACAAACCATTCTCACTTTATCTGGATTTGAATGGCTTGCTTTAATGCAATTAAAACATGTAATGACACGTACGTCATACGTCTGAAGGGTATCATTATGAAAGCCAAAACATTGGAAGGTAGCCGACTCACTATATCTGTATATATATATATATATCTATATATTAGAAATGACTAAATTGTTAGAATCAGCACGACCATCATAGGTTACACCTTGTATATAACGAGGATCATTGATGAAGACACCTTCCCAGTTGGCAATTAATATTCCATTTCTATACCACAACTTGAAGTTATCATAAACACCATCAGGTCGAAAGCAGCGTAGGGCGATATCAACTCCGATGTTAGCTAGTTTTAGTATGATATCACCTTCCCCTCCGCATGCAAGATCCACACACAAAAGTACAACAAATACACCCCCAACACACCTGCGATCGCATTAATACCATCTTAAGCCAAGTTTACGAATATTGATGACAAATCCAAATATTAGAAGATAGTATTAGATAAGCTTTCATCGTTACGGAACAACGTACGATTTAAGATTAATAACTGCTAGTATTGCTTTGCTTTCTTAAAGACGGTGAAGTATAACAATGACTGTTTGATTATTGTCTGCATTCAGTGACGTTATTCCTGAACTCGATGCTGTATGACGAAAAATAACGTTTTGAAGCAGGTTGTGATGAAAAGCGCGTGCGTATGATAGGACCTATTTGAAAATGGGAACTTCTTTTGTTTTTCTAACAATGTTGTCATAAAACCTGACCACGACACATCATCGAAATATATTTTCCCATCATGTTTTTTCACTATCGTGGCGTAGTATTACTTTGATATCATATGTTAGGCTCCCGATATGTTGTACAATGAATACATTTGTCACATTACTTGATCCGTACCAGTCCTTCAGATATCAATGACCAGATATTTTAATGCCGAATCTATTTCTAAGGATGACCTCGATAAGAATCTATTAAAGTCGTGATCAACTGTGATCATCTGGTGATGAGTCTCGTAGTTGTGATCTATTAAAGTCGTGATCAACTGTGATCAACTGGTGATGAGTCTCGTAGTTGTTAGTCTAAAAACATTCTTTAATGATCATGACGATCACGTTACATCATGCCTGAAGTTCCGCGGCAGAGCCTGGTTCCCAAAGATCTCAATGCTGAAAAAAAGATACCCAAAATGCTTGTATCAAGAATCTCATTGCGCCTGTATCTCGTTTGTTAATAAAAGATTGAATGGCAACCGGTGAATGTAATCTGCCCTCATCAATCTAGATATGTTGAGACTTTACCTTGCTTGACAAGGAAATGACATTTGTATTCAATACAATAATACTACAAGTGGATCAATCGACCGTCAAAACAAAAACCATCTCTTAGAAGCCTAACAAAACCCAAATTGTATGCATCAAAAGTATTTTGTCAGCATTGTGTGTTTTGAAAGATGATTAGTTATGTTATTACCAACATTGAAACTTTCTCTCAGAAAGTAGGTGTGGCATAAATATGTTCAGTATCGCACAGAACATGAAGTGTTTTCTGTAAATAATTCCTTATTAGGTAAATTAAAAACGCCATTGACAATGTAAAAGGGAGGTCACTTTCAAGAACCTCTTACCCAACCACATTCAATGGAAATTACCGAGAGCAAAATTTGCTAATAATAATATTTGTTGCCATAGGAGCGGCACTAATAACTACTACTACTACTACTACTACTACTACTACAATTAATAATAATCTCAATCTTTTTAGCACTCTACAGAGTATTTTTACCACGATCATGTGGTACAGTCACGCACACAATGTGCACCATCTCCACTCCGGGTGGGGGAGGTGATGTACTCGTACCAAATGGGGACTGTGAGGGCAAGTGCTATCACCAAATTCCTTCCCCATATTGAGAAGTACAAAAACAACGTAATTTCTTGCATTATACTTATTTATTTGCAACTTTAATCATTTTCTTTGGGTTTTTATCTACAAATTGCGCAAGGATAATAATGGTTTTATTATACGTTTACATTATTGAAATGAGCGCATAAGCATGTTGCACATGCTTTTTGCTTGCTCTCCAAAAGATTTCTTATTTGTCTGTATTTACTTTGTTATATCAATTTGTGTTGTTACCAGTAATTTATATATGTCTTCTGGATACCACTAGTCGAATTGCATTCGGTAGTTAGGTGATTTCACACCATATTTTGATGACAACATTTTTTCTGGATTCATGTGTAGTAGTACCTAAGAAGCCATTTTCACTGTACATCTCTATGTAAGTAAAAGTACCCTGGTACTCTATTATGTAATGTATGCCTATTATGTATTGTATGCCTGGACGAACATGAATCACTGGATTCACTAGCAAGCACAATGGGACCGTTTCAACTTGGACTTTTGTTCACACTCTGCCTGTATGCTAATTTGGATAGGAATGTGTACTGCAGTGAGCAATCTTTCATTAAACTCTCTATTAATGAAAACTTCACCAGAAAACACTATCTTAAAAGGAGGATTCCATACAACCCCAATAGTACAGCATCTTTTCAACTAGAGCTACTACATGCGGGTGATGTACATCCCAACCCCGGACCAGATCAGGATCAAGATGGCACTGTACCATCTTTTTGCATTCATCGTGACCCTCCCCTTCAGCGTAGAATTCACTACTCTCCAGAGGATCTGTTACAGTGGAGATATGCAAAGCTTCGACTGTCGTCCGACGTTCGTGATGTCATCCATTCTTTCGGAATTCAACGAAGAAAGACAAGGAGAGGTAGGCGCGGCAACCGCAGAAGAAACTGTCTCCGACAATCAAAAGTGTCAAGATCATCATCATCATCTACTATCCCGATCTGCATTCAACCAGGTATTCATTCATACTTTTCAGGTATTGATAGGTCAATATGCATTCAACGAGCAAACTTAATCTCTATACCTCCGATTGAAAGTTTTACCAAAGTATGCACTTTTAATATGCGATCAATAAGGAATAAGACAACTGATTTCTATGATTTTGTCACTGAAAATGACTTAGATATTGTAGCAGTAACTGAAACCTGGCTTAAAGATGGTGATGATGTTGTCATAGGAAAAATTACTCCTGCCGGATATAACTTTGAACACCGGCCCCGTCAAGGGAAGGCCGGAGGAGGGGTTGGACTGTTATACAAATCTTCGCTCTCACTCACTACTAGTCTTGTAACTCTATTCAGATCATTTGAATCGCTTCATGTTACAATTTCAGGAAACTCTCGCTCAATCAGTTTAGTCGTAGTATATCGACCTGAATCTGATGATCATGGGCGTCATCTACCCTTCAGTGTCTTCATGGAGGAGTTTGGTGAAATGTTGGACAGTTATCTTCTCCACCCATCAGAGATCTTACTCGTGGGTGACTATAATATATGGGTTGACGTCCAGGATGATTCAAAGGCCAGACAGTTTCTGAACCTACTATCGACATATGGGATGAAACAGCATGTCCGTGAACCGACCCACGACCACGGACATACACTTGACTTATTGATCACACGTGAACATGAAAATGTTATATCAAATGTACTAGTGCAACCTGGTCTCTCAGATCATTTTGCTATCATGTGTAACATTACATTGGAAAAACCTAAACCTATTCGACAAAGTTTCTCAACCCGGAATTTAAAGTCTTTGGATAGACAAAGGTTCTGTAAAGGTCTCCATGTAGCTTTATCTGTTCCTGACTTAGATTATGATGTTACATCTATGTGTATTAATTACGATTATTCTCTAAATGCCTTATTGGATCAACTAGCTCCCAGAAAAACAAGAACTATAGTTGTCAAACCTAAGTGTCCTTGGATGACTGATGATATCCGAGAGGCAAAGTGCCTCAGACGGAGACTGGAGCGTCGCTGGAGAACCACTAAAACTGAATCCGATCGGTCTCTATTTATTAAGCAGAGACAAATAGTATCTCATCTCGCTCACCAGGCGCAAAAACATCACTACACATCTGCTGTAGCAGACTGCAGTGGCGATCAGAAGCGGTTGTTTCAAATTATAAATAAACTCTTGAATAGAAAGAAAGATCAAATTCTTCCTAGTAATGTGTCTGATCAAGACTTAGCAAATCGTTTTTCTGATTTCTTTATGAATAAAGTTAGCAATATTCGTCGAATTCTTGACGCTCGTGATAGTACAGGTTATCAGTCAGTGTCAGAAAGTGCCATTCCCTATTTGTCTGACTTTTTACCAGCCACAACTAGTGAGGTTCGAAAAGTCATCATGAATTCTCCACCATCTACATGTGAACTAGATCCTATTCCAACCTGTTTGATCAAAGATTTTTCTAATGAATTCACCCCATACATCACAAAGATTGTAAATTCATCTCTACGTTCTGGCATCTTTCCTGATTGTCTGCAACATGCACTCATTAAACCTCACCTAAAGAAACCAAGCCTTGATAAACAAGAGCTTAAAATTATCGTCCCGTTGCAAACTTAAAGTATCTTGGTAAGGTAATTGAACGTATAGTATCTACGCGTCTTCAGTCCAGCATAAATGACCAAAACCTTCAAAACCCCTTTCAATCGGCCTACAAGGAAAACCACAGTGTGGAGACGGCACTATTGAAAGTACAAAATGACATTTTAATAAATATGGATAAGGGGAAAGTTACTGCATTAGTTCTGTTAGATCTCAGCTGCGCCTTCGATACTGTTGACCACAATATCTTAATCGACAGACTAAAAAAGATTGGCATTGGTGGAACATGTCTTCATTGGTTTCGTTCCTACCTTTCAAATCGATCTCAAGCGGTTAACCTTCATGATACAACTTCATCGGTTGTTAATCTTCTGTTTTCTGTGCCCCAAGGATCTGTTTTAGGTCCCCATCTGTTTAATGTATATACCTTACCACTTCATGAGATAATCAGTAAACACAATATAAGCTATCATATGTATGCAGACGATCTACAATTATATTTTTCGTGTTTTCCTATTCAGGAACAGGTAGAAAAACGTGTTGAAGATCTTGAAAGTTGTATTCATGATGTACGAAAATGGATGAATGATTGCTATCTCAAACTAAATGACGATAAAACAGAATTTCTCTTGTTAGGCTCCAGACAACAACTTTCCAAGATTGTTATAACTCATATATGTGTTGGTTCTGTGCACATTGCTCCTTCAGATAAGGCAAGAAATCTTGGTGTCATTTTCGATACAAGCATGTCTCTTGATGCACATATTTCAAAATGTGTGAAAGCTGCCAATTATCATCTTCGTAATCTTCGCGCTATAAGGAAATTTTTAACCCCCCAAACCACTCAACAATTGATTCATGCTTTTGTAACATCTCATCTCGATAACTGTAACTCTCTCCTTTATGGACTTCCTAAATACCAAATTCACAGACTACAAAAGGTTCAAAACGCAGCTGCCCGCCTTGTCACTAAATCTAAACGTTCGACCCATACTACTCAAATACTCAAGAACCTTCACTGGCTTCCAATAGAACAGCGTATCAAATATAAAATTCTACTACTCACCTACCGTTCACTAAATGGATCAGTTCCTGAATATATTTCCTCTCTTCTTAATATCTCTTTAAGTTCTCGTGCAGGTCTTCGTTCCTCTAATTCAACAAATTTAACACAATTAAGAACAAAGAGGAGTTGGGGAGACAGAGCTTTTACAGCTGCTGCACCCCGGTTATGGAACTCCCTACCCCATTCAATCAAAATGTCAGCGAATCAAAATGTGTTCCAAAAACAATTGAAAACCTATCTAATGTCTGAATTCCTTATTTAAGACGTAGTGTATTTCACAATCTGATGTAATTAACGTTGTTGAATTTTATTTAATTATGTCATATTATTTTCGTTCAATGTACTTACCTTGTTAGGCGCCTTGAGCATCTCTTGGGGTGGATATGTGCGCATTATAAATGTTGCTATTATTATTATTATTATTATATCATTCATCTGACTAGAAATGCAAATACACGTTTTTTATCAACACATATAACAAACACATATTATGTTGAAGATACATGTGATATTATATACCTTATCGTAAGATTCGTATTATTATTAGTAGTAGTGTACACAACAAGAAAATGAATAGTTTTTACTATAAAAGACGTTTCCTGCCGACTACCGTATGAGTCAAAAAAAGTTTACACCTAGAAAATTGTTAATTATTGTAAAAATCAGCTTTGAACAGTAAATTAGTATACATCTTATGAAAGAGTGTTTTATCCCACAACATTTAGTATCAGTTTTATGTGGTATGCGTTCACGCTTAGATGAACAGGTGGCATTGTTTGCGAGAGTGCAAAAATCGACTTGCGCCAAAGTGATGCCCACAGCATGTATATTATGTTGGGATAAGCGGGGTGAGAGTATTAATTGAATGTACCAAACGAAATGCATCGCATATGCTTTTTGCAGAAGTAAAGTCTCACACGCACACACATACACGCGCACAAATGTTCGTTGATATTTGTTATTCGATATTTGATATGTGTGGCATGATTAATTTCGTTAGGAATGTTATTTGGATCTGCAAGAAAACGATTTAATACCAAATCCCAATTGTTTTATTTAATCATCAGATAAGCAACTTTGGTGCAAGTCAATTTTTCCACTCTCGCAAACAATGCCTCTTGTTCATTCAAGCGTAAACACATACCACTTTGGGATAAAACACTCTTTCATAAGATGTATAATAATGTACTTTTTATAGATAATTTTTAAAATAATTAGCACTTTTCTAGGTGTAAACTTTTTTGTGACTTATTCTGTACATTTGAATACTTAATTTTATATTGCTGACGTCACAAAATTTAGCGAGCGTACGTGATTTCAAATGCCTCCGCACGGCCAACTCCCGCGGTGTCCCGGCGCTCAAGCCATGCAATTTACGCCGTTCGATAACTGAACTACACTAATGCAGTACCTGTTTAGGCGGCTAAGCGCCAGCTAAACATATTTACATCTTTCAAAGTAATCATTTGAGCCGTGCACTTTTCTTTTATTTCTTTTCTGATTGTGATGTGAATGTGAGAATATGGTACATTTGATAACAGAATTGTACAAGGAATGATACAGATGGAAGGAATATAAAACAAATATTTAAAGACTCACATATAGTTCCGTTTAGTCTCATTTCACAACGCCCCTTATCGTTAGAGTCAGCAGCCATACATGTTAGCCTATGGACTTTTTTTTGTTAATCGTTTAAAATTCATTTTTTGTTTAAACAAAAAGCATATCCACCCCGACATACGTTATCACTAGCTCTTTCACTGGAGCCCTCATGTCTCATTGACTTTTGAAAGTTCACCCACCGTAATTTTTCAAAATAGGTTGCAAGCTCGCCATTGCCTATAATACACATGTGAAACAAGTCGAACTTTGGACTCAGTCTGCCAAGTGATTGTAAGATTATAGGTCAAGCACACGAAGGATAAGAAGCATGAATTATCAATTATCACTTCTGCTATGTTCATTATGTCCATTTCATCAAACCCCCCACCGTATTTTGTCCATTTAGTAAAAGCAAACATTTTGCCGAGTTTAGCAAAAACATGAATATTCATGTCAGACAATACAGCCTTTTAGTTCGTAACGTATAGTGAATGGGAATGGGCGATGATCCGTCCAGGAGGTAAAGGTCAGTGTTTTGTGCTGGCAATGTTCACGCGAGCGAAAATGAGACAATCGGCAAACTCAGCAAACTCAGGAACATCATTAGTTGATGTTCCTTCGATGCGAATAGTATTAGCTAGATCCTCGAGTGTCATTGTATATTTGTAAACTATGTAGTTTCACTTTTCTGTTATGAAGTATCTAATAAAAGTAGACCCTACTTTAATAAAGTAGGCCTTGTGACGTGCACCTGTAATCAAGCTAACAATGGAAGTTCGAAACTGATTCAGCCGAGGACGCAGGTTCGAAACTGAGTCACGTCTTTCGGATGGTGTCGTTTAAAGCTCGGTCCCCAGACGTAAATAATCATATCTGATTGATACACGTCTGTAAAAACCTAATACGCACATAAACCTAATTCTCATGATTCCCATAAGAACTAAGGAATCATAGATGCCTTCTCGAATATTTTCTCCCTTGCCTCATATATCCAAGGTCGCAAAATACGTAAAGCCATACAAATGGGTTATCGTTTCAAATGTCATGATTATAGACGGATTTAGAAAATCCGGATAAAGACGGTTTTGTTCCGTTTCTGTCAAAAGAACCAAAATAACCAATCAAATTTTAGTTAGTGCACACATGTTTACAATCATTATTACAACTTGAAACATCTTAATGATCAAAAGACTGAGTAATAGCTTGTTAAAAAAATGATCACGTGATGAAAAAGCATGGTAAAAATGTTGATAATTAAAAGAATACCTGTATTCGGTGACAGTAACTTTAAGATAGTAAACATAATATTTTCTTTAAAAAATAATACTAAAACATTCTGCGTTTCTCATATAAACCATTATTTTTATCTTGTGAAAGACGAATTAGGACGTAATCTATTGCTCTTCGTACAAATACATATTATTCTGTTTCGAAAGCAAAAAATCTCATTGGATATCAATTTTAAGAACGTTCTTGCGAAGTCAACAGTAATAGGCAAAGGATGTACCATATAAACAACAGCGTGAAAATATGAACACCTATACAACCATAGACATGATAGAGAAGATAACTTCTTATCTTACGTCCTAACGTAATTATTGTTAGAAGTTATTGATATTATTGTTATGTTGATATTACGGTCGGTGAATTTTTTTTTCTTTCTTCTAGATTATAAGAGTAAAAATTATATTCAAGTCATCTCTTTTTTCTCGAACAAATCTACAGAAAGTAGTCCCAATAGCCACGCGCATCACCATTTTAATCGAGCGA